GCCACATTTGATTGTAGTGCTGCTGACCATGAGAATAAAACACTGAGCCTGCTGAATCTGTTCTTCTTCCCCCTTGTACTTTTCCTCCCTTATTCTCTCTTGTAGTTTTTAGAGATAAGAATGCAGTTAGTAATTATGATTTAGAGTTTTTACATCAATAGCTCTGCTGGGTTGTATAAAAGCTAAACAGCAGCATGTTTTCCTGCCTGATTAAAATTCCTTTGGTTCTCACTTTCCAGACTTCCAATGCATGCATTTTTTTAATTCATTAGTTGTTATGCAAAAAAACAGGGCGACCACCCAAATACATTCCAAGAAAATATGTCATTAGTGAATGGCATTTTGGAGAAAATGTATTAATTCAGTTATGGATGTAGAGGGAAAGTGTTTACAGTAGCTAATGAACAAACCGTTACAGTTTTTATTGCATATATTTGTGTTTGAACATTACCCCATGAGGTATTAGTACCAGTTTTAGCTGTAGTCATACCAAAAACAAACCAAACACGCACAAACATCATGTCTACATGTACTGAACAGGCAAGTCGGATTAATATCTTTCCTCTTGGTTTGGTTTTCTTTCCTGCAAATTAAATAATAATTACCGAGAACACTTACAAGTACAGTAGTTAATCTATAATTTGTTTTTATCCATAAATACTGTATGCATATGCACACACATGACATTTGGTAATTGCTGTTTAACCACTCTCACTGACCTGGGACCATCACATTTCTTGAAAACCTCACCTCCCCCAACGAAAGCATTGTATGGGTCACCAGCCTTCTCTTACCCAATGCTCTAAATGCATTAACATTGTTCCAAACCATTAAATGAATTTTCACACAGCACAGTACAAAGGCAGAGTATACAATGTAATACATGATTGAATTACTTGGAGACATTCCGCGGTGGGCAATATTTTCATATCAGGCCGGAGTTTCCCTGCGGGTCACCGTCTGTCATAAGGGTGGATAATATCACATTAATGCATTTCAACATTTACCATGATGGCCTCATTGTGCTGCAGCCACTCAGCGTGAAGGACAATAAAAAACTGAGGGAAAACACGTGCATATCAAGCAGCTAAGACTGAATCCCCAACAGCTGAAAGTTACTGGCTCCTGCGGTAGGGAATAAAAAGAGAAGAGGAGTCGATTTAAGTCACATTTATTCTCACAGAGCTCAGGGAAAAACCTGATCCCTGTCAATGTTTATAATTTATATTTCCACCTGCCAGTGTTCCTCTCAGAGGTCTACAGCAAACACCACCTCAGCACATCTAAATGAATTTTCATAAAAGACTAAATGAGAATTCTTTATTAAATTAAATGCTATACAGGTTGATCTCCCTCATGTTTGACACTAGTAAATCTTTACATCCATATATTTTAATGCTTTTTACACTACAAGCTGCAATTTGCTTACTTTTGAAGTTTGTACATCACAGTGGGTAATTGCAAGACTAACTTTTGTCTGCGTTTTCCTAAAATGAAGTTGGGGATGGAGATTGTCGTTCCTCTCCAACAGTGTGGATGTACAGAGAGGGCTGATGGGAATCCAGTCATGCATATTGTCCCATTGCTACAGCTGCTATCACAGATGCAGGCAAACAGTAGAGGCGGTGATTAAGGCACAAGGTTTGAGTTGATGATTAATGGTGTGTACTTTTTCCCCTGTACATGAAAATAATACATATATTGTTTATTATTCAAGAATAATACAAAACAAAAGAGCAAAAGACACAATCAAATTATAGATTTCTTGTGTCCAGTAAAATCAGATACACGAAACTCATTTGTTGTTTAGTATGAACGTGTTTTATTGATTGCACTTGACTGGCCTCTTGTGTCACCAAGCTTAAGACAGCCGAGGTGTTTAAAATACTGATACAATCAAAATTAATCAAAATTAAATTTCTCTGCCGCATTTGTTACAATGGTAACAAGACAAAAAGGGTAAACTCATTCAGGTTTTTGACACATCACAAGTACGTGAGTAATCCATCAGTCCATCCAAATGGTTATTAGTCGAAACATTGTTAACACATCCTGACTTCACCCAAAGATTAAGATGTGGTGCAGAAGAAGGTAGAGAATACTGTCCACAGGGGCTTTATTATGGATGTATTATTGAATGGGCCAGGCACAGGCACAGAGGCCCTTGGGACACATAAATCAACCACAAAGAGACATCAAATGACCACGAATGAACAACATCTGGGCGTGATTCCCCCTAGTCTGGGTGTCTTTCTCCTCTTTAAGAGGAATGGGGGGACTTTTTACGTGTCTGTGCCCAGGGGTCTGTTGTCTCATAATCTGTTTATGCTCACAGGATTTCATTCCATATCTCTCTACTTTCTCTGTTTTCAGTTCTGTCCAGTTGCAGATGATTTATGTGTCCTGCCAGCTAAAATTTTACCTGTTTTTACTTTTGTGTATAAACTTACTTTTGTCAACCCGCTCCATAGCTATAGTGCAAAGAATTTAGTTTTTCTCAAAGACTGATGTTTGGAAGAAAGAACTCAGGAAGAATGGAAGAATTGGCTTTATGGTTTTATTGATGAAAGTGCTAAATCTCTAACAAGCTGTGAATCCTTGCATATCTCTACAGTGTGTCAATATGTGTGTAATATGTTGCTCATGACTATAAACACTGTTGGGAGTTGTGTATATGTGTATGAGGGAGGGAGGGAGGGAGGGAGGCAGAGAGAGAAAGTAAAACTGTGTTAATATATTTATTGTTTTAATAAATTGAGTTGAAGTGAAAGGCCAATCCATAATGCTGTAGATGTTCCTTTTTATGTTCCATGTATATCAATACATACCACCAGAAGCCCAATTCAAAAGACTTATGTGAATGTGAAGTGTACATATGGGGAATGTAAGGACCCCCATGCATACATGTCCATACTAAACTGCCCTTTGCAGAGAATCAATATTGAATTTCATTCAGCCAGATGTAAAAACCTGATCATGTTTTGGATCACTTCTCTTGATCACTTGGTTTGCAAATTATGGAACCACAACAATCGGAAACAGCTTACACTGATTTGTTAAGTCTTGCCCCGGGGTTACTTGTAACCTCTCTACCAGGAGCACCTAGGTCTGCTCAATAGGTCTTGCCGGCTCCACATCAAATTATACAGATGCTGCCTCAGTGGGACCTGTGCTGAAGCACAGTGCACTTGTGCTACATTGTGTGGGTAGGAGTCGTGGTTAAAAAGGGAACATTCCCACCTAAAAGAGGTTTCTCATGATATTTCTAACGCAGGTTAATCTGTACTTACACTACACAAGCAAACAATGTATAATCTTCACTAAGGGACATATTTAGTAGTCTTTCCATTCAGAATGAATTGACCTTGTGCACTAATAAAATGTTTGTTTGAGCTTTTAAATCAAAATGACCTTCATTTCATTATATTGCCAAAAGTTACGAACCATAAAATGTGACAATATCCTATAAAATTCCAGGAAGAGTCAGTGTGTCCGCTGTCTGTGTCCTTTGTACAGTAAATGATCAAAGCATTTGTGTCTTTAGGAAACTCCCAGCTCTTTTGTTTTCTCCTCCCAGCTCTCAATGTTTGAAAAGATTACGCAAACCAGATATTCCTTACAACGTATGTTAAAACTGGAAGACTGAAATGTCCTTGTTGTGTCGAGTTTAAAACAAGCATTAATGATGTGAGCACACTGTACAGTGACATTTGAAACTGCGCTTTTGGAGTTAAATTTAGAAATGTATTTATTGTGAAGCCAGTCTCAAAACCCATCAGCTAATCATGCATGATTAGTCTCCGGGGGAAATGGGCTATGCAATAGGACTGCAGTGCAATGATTAAGAGTAATCACTTTTTACACCCACACATAAAATAAGGCAAAAATCCAAAGGAAAGGTAGAATTATATATAAATAAATATGTTTATCTACTGCAAATATCTCGGTGGCTTTGTCTTCTTTGTTTTTAACATAAAAGCAACATTAGGACAGCAAGACATTCTAATATCTCAGGCCAGGAAGTCAGTACGCTGTGTTTTATGGTTATTGAGGTAGTTACATGGCAACGTAGGGATAAAACTGTGCAAAGAGAAACTTCAAAACAAATCATTTAAAAACAAAATATCCTAAGGCTTTAAATGAGTAGTAAGCACTGTCTCGCTTTGTTTTGTGTGTATTTTGTTATGTTTTTGTGCAGAGGGGCATTTCAAAAAAAATATTTTTTAAGATTGTATTTGTGTTAATAAATGTGTTTAGTATAATTTTTGGATATTGATTGGACCTAACTGACATAAAACATGGGACTTTCAAATACTGCTGTAATGACTAAAGAAGATCAAGGAATCAAAGGACTTTGACAGCTGTACTATTGAATATTCACAATAATATGTGCTATCTGGCTGCAGAATTAAGCACAATAGTACATTTATATAATCTGAGAAGGAATAACAGATTCTAGGTAAAAGCAGTGGTGGGTTTTTAGCATATCCCCTTTTGATGTTGGTTTCTTCAGATAGAAATGGAGACCATTCCATTAGGAAGCCAGTGCAAGGACTAGGGTAAGGACAATATAACCTCTCTTATCGGTTTCACTTAAAACTCTAGCAGCAACATAATAGAGTTTTTTGAAGAGCCCTGATAGCAATGCGCTGCAATAGTCGAGCAAATTTGGAATGCATGCACAAGCTTCTCTGTATCAAGGGAAAAAGCTCAGACCTTTATGTGATGGGTAGCGTTCCCTCCCCACTCTAGTTTAGCCACACCCTGCAATCATTGTCAGCAGGTGAGGCTAATCACTTCTCAGTCCTTAAATGTAGCTGTGTAGCAGTCAGCAGTAGGTTTTGCCTCACCCTACCCTGACTCTACAGTTGTTTGAGGGATGCCGATGCCCAACTAAGGTATGAATTGTTCTTGGCTTATTTATCATATAGTGGGCGCATGCATTAAATTCTTCCCTCACATCTGTGCAGGTGTAATGGCAGGAATATGGGAGTTAATTGAAGGTAGTTGCTGCTCCCTCCACTAGAAGAGTGGTGTGTATGTGCCAGATTCTAGTTGGATAAATTGTTCATGTAACTCGCAGGTATGTTAATCTTTAAGTTGTATGTCTTGTGTACTATTCTTCTCAGTGGTCTTTAGATTTTAATGACTGAAACATATGTTTTTGGATTAATGTTTATATTATATACATGTCACTATATATTTTGTATGTGTTTTCTTTACAGTAGGAACTGGAACATGGTGTCTGTTCCCATGACCTAGTCTTCTGGCTACTGCTGTTTTTGCCCTTCTACAAATGTATTTATTGTATATGGTTACCTTGTTTTACTGTGTAGATTGTTAATTTCTGATAGTTGGTTTGTGTTTTCTTGGTTAATTTAGTTGTCGGATTTATTTATCATCTTTCATAAACCAAACTTGTGAGTTAATGATATAGTGGAGCTCTTTTTAGTGTTTGTACAGGTGGGCTGTCATAGGCTTACAGGTGGTGGGTTACTGGGTGGAGGGTTTCCCCCTGTCTGGGTTCTATGTGCATGCTTACGTTGCTGTGTATTCTAACTATGTGCTTTATTGTTTTGCAGTGTGTGTGATCTCTTCTTCCCTGTACCTACTGGTGGTGGTGACCCCCCTTTTCTCTCACTCCCTCATTCCTGTAGGCCTCCCTGACAGCCCCCCTCCCCCTTGTACTGGTAATTACCTGTTTAGTGAATATAAGTATATTTTGGTAATAAATCGTAAATTTTAACCTATCCCAAATGGTTTTTTGAGAGTGACATTAAATCTGTGTAAATAAATGTAGTGGTCGAAACTGGAAATTCACATCTCTGCTTCTTTTTCTCTGTACTATAAGAACCTGTGAAAGTGGGTATTCTCTGGGTGAAAGTCCCAGGGTGGCGTTGTCACACTTGCTGTCAGGGCGCTTAGTTGCCCTGGTCACATTTACAATATCCTTTCAATGTTGGAATGCTGTTTTTGCTACACTCATTACATTAAACTGGAATGTTAGATCGGAGTCAATGACATAACCTCAGCTGTTACCTGTAGTGGCTCAGATAGTATTCAGGTTTAGTACAGTTTCTGTAGAATGAATTACTGTCTTGAAAGAGCCTTTTCAGTGTACTAAATTGGGTGGATTTCATCAGAAGAAACAGCTATATAAAATTAGGTGATATCTGCATAACAGTAAAATTGTGCAACCATGTGACGAGTGAAAAGTAGTAGACCCAGAACTGAGCCTTGTGGTACTCCATATGGAACATTCACTCTGTTAATGAGGTTTGGGACATTATGATATACTGTAATAAGTATGACAAAAAGCATTTTAGAGACCTTTACCTATTTTTTTTTCCTTTTACAAATAAATTGACAGCCAAGACTGCACTTAAATCCAGAAGTACAATATCAGAGTATATATATATATATATATATAGTAGTCTGTCATCATTTTCAATGTTCACCAGAAGAGTTTGAATGCTATATTGTTCTGAAACCACTCAGGATTTGTTTGCAGCTGTCTTTGTTTAGACTGTCAATGTGTGAGGACCAGCTTTTCCCAGAAGCTCACTGAGGTTTCTCTATAGTTGCTGAATTGTCAAGTTTTGCCTAATGTTTACAAATTCACACAGAATGTTATTTTATATCACTACAAACTTTACTTTTAAACTGTTCCATTTGTTTTATTTTATTATTATTAAGATCATGTCACCAGGTTTAGTCACTGTACAGCTGTGGTTATAATAGATTATCTGGGCATCCCCATTTTCTCTTTGACATCATCAAAGAAGAGTTTCAGGACAAACAAACAAATTCTGTTCCTGTTATCAGGGCTGTACTCCTTGGGAATTATGTGAGCTACTGCGTTGTTTCAGTTGTCAGCCACCAACTCACTCTACGTTAATTGAATTGATTTATTACAACAGACCCAGTCACACAGGATGCTGGGGACCCTCATGAGTGTTAAACACCTTAGCTTTTCTTTCAACCAGCTGTTTCAAATTACTTAGATCTCTCTAGTGTTCATTAATGGAAAACGGCAATAAAATATTCATGAAAGTTAATAAAGCTAGCTCATAATAAGGCATAATTAAATTTGCTAACTTGTTTGTGTGAACCTGAGCGACTACAAACTTAAAGGATGTGTTTATGACTTACAACTGATGTTTGTATTATTCATAGGAAAGAGTTGAGTCAGAAAAGACATCCAAGATTGGAAGTGACAGCAACTAGAAAATGTATTTAATAGGCATACTAGGGAGCTGATGAAGGTTTCGCGCTGTGCCCTTCTCTTTGATCCGCACTTAACAACATTTTAGGGCCTTCACACAAAAAAAAAAAGCTGCTATATCAGCAAAAAAATGATGGATATTATTGAATAAAGAAGAGTGGTGACTGGATGAGAAGAAAGAACTACTCAGATGCTGGAAGATGCTGGCAGAGGCAGCTTGAGGCGACTGTATTTCTGCTTAAAGTTTCCCTAAGAGCTTCAATTGTGCAGAATGGTACCACATTGTTGTAAAATCATAGTTGTAAACATGGCGATTTGTTTACGCACCACAAATATATGGCAATAGATTTATTAAGAAAGCTGTCTGGAGTAGATAAAGATGACAAATAACATAATCTAAAATGACAAAGACAATGGAATTGAAGCAGAGCTCTGAAAGATGTTTCAACTTGCATTTGACAAATGAATGCAGGAGAAATGTCAGAAATAATGACAAACAAAGCACGAGACGCACCAGGCGCTTAGGGAAATTATGGCAACGGCAAAGAAAGGGAAAACAGTTCTGGTGTAATGGAATTGTCAGGGGCTCACATCATTGATTTAATGCATGCAGTTTCATTTGCCTCATTCAAAAGTAATAGGCAATGAATAAAAGGCTCAGTCATGACTAAGTATTGAGAGGGCCGAGAGGTGACAGGAATGAAGATGCGCAGGCCCATTGGATAGTGGTGAAAGGGTGAAGTCCACCTCTTAGCAGATTATACTGCATGTGTCCTATCCATCTTAAGGCACAGTTTTCTGGTTCCCTTGTTCCACTGTCCACTCTTTTTATCTCTGTATTTTAACAAGATGCAAAAACATTTTCATTGCTGGATTGGGTTTATTTTGTAGACCATCTGTTCCTCCTTTGAGTTTGAATATTTTTTTGTCTTTGATTGAATATGCCGTTTTATCCCCCATCCTTTTAATTATCCTCACTCTTTTTTTTTGCAAGCACTATACCGGAGAGCATCCTGTAAAGCTGCACTCATTGGAGCTTTGAATGTTCTTCAGTTCTGTATAGGCTGTTAAAACAACAGCAACCAAGAGGGAACCAGCAATGACGGAAATTTATTAGGTGAACAGACCATAAAACCTATTTTACACATTAACTGTTTCGGCCCTCTTGGAATTAACTCTTGATTTCTACACATCAGTATTCCAGCAAAGATTGGATTCTGCAGGCTTCATAGCATTCATTAAAACTACTACTGTTTCGCCTTGGCTTTACTTGTTGTCTCATGCAACAAAATGGTTAGGTACTGTAGAGCGGTAATCTGAACCACACTGAATCACAAAAATACCAAACACATTCCTTCTACAACACCCCAAGGACTGAATTTCCAGTTGCTGGTACTTTGGCCAGAGCACCATGTGTTCGTGAGATCAGTGGTTTCTGAGTGCAACAGTTAAGAGCAGTGGCAAACTGAATTGCTGGGTTTTTTCTCCTGCTTGCCAGTCTCATCTCCACTCCCTGCCAATACAGAAATATTTCTCTGCCCTGGGCTCTGTTTTGTTTTCTTTTAAAACTGTCTGTATGCTCGAGCGGAGAGGTTCAAGGGGCTTTTGAGGATGCAATCCAATTCTCTAAGCATACAGCCACAGTTTTCTGTCTGCTCCAGTATTGTGCAAATATAGGCTCGGAGGTTTTAGTCTGAAGCGTGGTCGTTTTCTTGTTTTTGTGTTATTACGGGACACGAGGTTAAGTCACCCTCTCTCACTGTCTTTCTCAGCTGCTGACAAACATTTTCTGTGGAAGCATATTCTGGCATTTTCTGGGACTAAAATACTGTTACTAATCCGATCACTTCTATTTTTATGTCCTGAGAAATCAGTTGTTTTCTGAGGTGCCCCACAACGACATTCAAGTCACAAAGCTCTCTTTAGCGGTTGTAGTAATTATGATTGGAGCAAAAGAGGAGATCAGGTTGTAGAGTGAAAGAGGTCAGGTTGGATGGATGGGTGGCTATTCATGTCCAGTTTCCAACCACAGTCAACATTGTTTCTTTTAAGCATGACCATAACCACTTACAAAGTAGCCATTTTAAGCCAGTACAGTAAGTAAGTACAATGTTGACAACCATGATAGAAACGTGGTGAAATCTTTGTTCATCAAACCAAATCTGTTCTGAATCATTGGTGTATATATCTACGGCAATCACAATTTTTTTAAAAGTGGTACGGATGGATCATGTCTCATCTTGTATTTATATATGTTTTCTCTTTAAATCAGAGCAAATTTACCCAGCATTCATTCCACAATCTGACATACAGTACCCACAAAATTAAAACTGTACAGTCTGACACAGATTGCAACCAGGATTTTTATTACACCCATCTTGCACAATGTAACATGCCTTGAGCCAGCAACGTCACTGTTATGGCACAGTTTATAGAGGCCTTTTAAAAATGTATCAGGTTCCTCTCTCTGATGCATTATGTAGTGGTTTGTCTTTCTTTAACCAAAGTCTGCGCCCCTTGAAACCCTAATAGTCATTCACCACATGATTAAATCAAAGAAAGTTGTGCCTCCTGCACCCATCTGCTGCCCCTCTCTATTTCAATATGACAAAATATTGTTAATAATAATAACTATCTGTATAGCACTTTCCTAAAAACAATGTTTACAAAGTGCTTTACATACAGTTCATCCAAATGCAGCAGCAATAAAGAATAAATGTAAAAGTAATGTAACAGGTGAACAGATACAGCTAAAAACACACCAACAAAAATACTATTAAGAACAGATCAAAACTGTGTGCCAAAAAAAAGTAGGACTAAAGGGTAATACAAGAGAAACACAGGAAATACAAAGACCCTTCAGCGATTCCAAGCTCCCCACCGGCAGTGCATAGGGAGTGAATTCACAGAAAAGCCTGCTCATAAAGGAGTGTTTTTAGGAGGGATTCAAAACAATGTATCATAAATCATTCATCTTCAGACACTTCTTTCAACACAAAATGAAGTACAACATTGTTGTAACAAACATTTCCTGGCTGTGAGGCATATACAGCACTTTTAACTGCCAGTGAATCAAGTGAATATGACTCTTCTTCTACATCTGGTGGTGTCTGAAAAATTGCTGATTGGCCTGATTGAGATGCTAATTTTAATTTTAAAGGCCCCTTGCTGCTTACCCATGCTCTGATTTTGATGTTCCTCGGAGAGATGATGCATCTTGTTTCTGATTTATCAAAGTGGTACATAAATGCTTTATTTGTGGAGGATTATGTGTTTCCTATTAACTTGTGTTTTGCACTGCCCTTGATTTTGCTTCTGTTTGTCCCAGTTGTCAGGCTCTTTCTGAATGGGTTTAAGATGATTGCCATGCAAATATACCTGTTATAAAAGTTGTTATTAATTAGGGTACATAGATTTTACTGCAAGAATGTAAGCACTGATGCTCTCTATACTGCAGCCAAGGGAGTCTACAGTAGTTATTTCTCACTGTTAAACCTGTTTCCACTGATATGCAGCCATTGCCTTATCTTAGTTTCTTGTCCATAACAGCGTCTATCATTGCTTTCCCTCTCCTGACTCTCCTGCTCTCTT